ATTAAGTCGCTAATTTCACATATCAGGAAGTTCATGTAACTTGCCTCAAGGCAAAATACCTATACCAACTAGTTAAGTTTTTTGGTATGTTTCATTCAATTAGAATTGGACCACGATGATACAATAAATCACATTAGTGGTATCAGTGCAAATTCAATTATAGACGCAAATTGTAAAAGTATGTCTAAATAATTAATCCGTATCTAAGAAATTAAAAGATTCCTAGAAAGGCCACTGAGCACATAATTTTATATCATCATACGTTATGCTTTTTTTCCTTATTTATTCAACTAATTTGTATTATTTAATCAATTTCAATATTATAAATTAAAATAACACTAAGGATTAATTGCGAAAGGTTTGTACTGCCCATAGGTTGAAATATGCAACCCATTATTGAAACCACATGTATCTACTTTTACGTTCTTCATAAAATTATGCACACTGCGGTTAGCATATTTCTTTATGTTTTCTTCTGCCCAAGGAATGCCTTGTAGAACATGCTAGAACTTTAACTTTGATGTATTATATTCGGCTTTGAGAATATGTACTTAAGGTAAGATACTTACTACAGCAGCGCACGTTCATGTGCACTATGTATGGAAATTCAAGATGATATGTAGATTAAAATTGAGGAACATTTTTGTTTCTTAGTTTTCGGGCTAATTTTTTTTTTGTCTAACAATAATTTTTTATAAGAAGTGTATTCAATTTTATTGTTATGTATATTGACAAACGAATGATGAATATAAAATAATTTACTTTAAACATAATTTATTATACTTTCAGAGTTTATAACTTTACTAACTTTAGAATCTAAACTAAAAAATTAGTTTGTAGTACATATATTCATAGACTGTTCGCATGTTTCGACAACACTTGTTTTATTATTAGTTTCTTTCACTTTTCTGTATGTGTTGATTTCTATGAACTCCGATAATATCTTTAAATATATGTGGGGTACGGCGGGGCACAATGGTCCATTTTGACTTTGAGCAATTATATTGTGAAAACCAAACTAATTATATCACAACAAATGACATATATCAAATAAACAACTATCTGTCTATGTTCAGTAAAACTCCCATCTATTGGGAGTATTTATCGTTGTAAAAATATGTTTTTCTTTTTTTTTAAGTTTGTCACCTAGTCCTTTTCATTCTATCGACGGTGTAAAATAGCACAACCAGGTGCCTAATAGATCAAATGTCTTATTTTTGATTTTAAAGGGATTTTATTTATTTATTTCTTTTAATTTATTTATTTTTAAGTATATAGCCCACAGATTTTATCGAAGAGGACTTAAAAATACATTTATTTTACATAATGGATTTTGATTTGATTAATTTTGCGATTTTGCGAAGAATATTCAACCAAAGCTAAATATAAATTTTATGGGCACATTATTTTACAAATATAACACTGCATATAGCGTTGATAGTAATTCATTAGAAATGATCATCAGCAGAGTTGGAATAATTATTAATTTAATTTATTTGTTGTGAAATTGCTTTTATGGCTCAACTTACTTTTTTATTTACAATTTTTTATTGTTTACGCCTTTTCCAGGGTAAAGGTTTAGTTGGTCCTTTTTACCCCTCCCACGTGTAAGCTTTTATATGGGTTAAATAAAAAACTGTTGAATCTAACTTAAAATTAACAAAACAGCTTATAAAAACAATTAAAGAACATATACTTAAAATTATATTATTAAGGTCTCGTAAACTAAACAACAGTGCTCACAATTAAAAAAAACTAATAACGGCAAAAAATACTTTTGGTGCGGACTTTCAAACATTGCCTTTTATCTTCCAATTGCAA